ATATACATATATATTTTTTTCCACCTAATTCATATGCGTATGTGTGCATATATTTACTGTATTCTTTTTTCCATATGTTAACTTGGCTTAATTGAGTTATTTTCTTTATGCAAGCAATCGGCATGGCTTCAATTTTATCTGTAGGTGTGTCTGTGAATTTTTAAAGAGCCCAATTAAGATTTGTTAATTAATGTGCATATAAGCACATACCCGTTTACTGGGTCCTTTGTTTTCTGTATATTCAGTTTTTATTTAATTGAGTTATTTTCTATATGCAAACAATTGGCATGGCCTAAATTTTATTTGTGGGTGTGTCTGTGAATTTTTAAAGAGCCCAGTTAAGAATTGTTAATTAATAGTGCAAATTACATTTGAATGAGGACTGAAAGGGTGAATAATAATTTCTCATCATACATGCATTTAAAATTGATGAGAACAAAATGTAAACAGTATAAAAACATTTCCTACAGTCTGATGTGATGTGAATCGTGTAAAAAGGAGTAAAATAAAAAAATACTATGTTAAAATAGAAAAACCATGTCTGTAGAAAAGCAAATAGCCTTAATATTTGTGCTACGTACACAAACTCTACCGAGGTTCTCTTTTAAACAACGGGTATGTCAATGATGCAAAAATGTAGTTGTGACCTTTAGTTTAAACCCACGTGTACTTGTTTTCTGTTTGCCTCCCATAAAATGAATGATTTCCACACAAAAAATATATATTTATGCTTATACCAGCCCACACATATTTTACGTCACAATTTTTAGATGTAGAACAGCTAGTAGATTGACAGATGCAAAACTACATAGTAATCTATATCAGAAATTGTAATTAATGAAAACGCCCATGAAAAACTAAAGAACATACTATCTGAAATTTGTATCCTATAAAAGTCGAATTATAGGGGTTATATGATTCAGCATTTTTCTATACTGATATGCACAAATGAAAATTTGCCCCAGAGTGTTGCCCGCATTATCACAATGCTAGGCTTAATGAGTATATCACATCCAGTAGGCAGCGCTGAAAGTGAATGAGATGGGGCAAAATTATTAATTTTTAATCTCTGGTCAAGAAGGTTAATGCCCAGAGATGGAAATATGGTTTCTTAGTCAAATATGAACAATGGCATGGCTTCACTGAGCTGTTGGCTGCATATCACCAAACAAAGCATACTATTCAGTTAGTGCCAAAGGCTATTAAGAAGCCAAGTATGCAGACGGTAATAAATAAATATTTTGGAAAGTCTGTAGAATGTCAAACTAGTGGATATTATTACAGTTCTAAGGTCTTGCTTCAAATTATGGCAAGCAATTTGTATTCAGAGTAGACTGGGTAAAAAAATAGGGCAGTGACCAGCATTGCAAGGACCAAACACCATAGGACCAGTAGTATATTTTTTTCCTCTCACCGACCTTTCTTGACTGCTGTTGGGATAAATGGCCTTTCAACTAAGCCAATATGTGTAAGAGAATTGTGTAATAGATGTATGGTCTTTTGATATGGTGCTCCTTTTACTACTTACATGTTCAAAGTATTCCTGCCTGTCACATCATAATTGTCAATTGTTTACTAGGCTAAATGTAGAAAGAAGTGATCTGTCCTAAAGTAGTAAGCATAAAAAATGCCTAAATAAAATATGGCACTACAGTCTCCAGAATACATGAGATGTGTAAAATATGCAGATTATAGAAATCCTATTTTTGTATATTTAGCTATAAAGATGCGTTATACTATTTAAAATGTTTAAAAAGCTGTTTCATTTCTATATCTGTGCATTGTATTACTCTGTATTAATTTGTCTCTGCAATCATTTGTTAGCTATTTGTGGACAAATTTCTCAACATGTCAGTTTCTTTTGTCGTCCCAGGAAAGAAAAACATCTTTAAATATGCATACCATACTAATAGAAACATTTCCAAACATATTTAATTGGGCATAGTATTTAATACAATTTCATACTGATAACTTTAGAATTTTCGTACTGATAAGTTAATTCTAAATAGCATTTGTTGTTTGAAAAATAAAATATATTTTTTCTTATCATTACTTATTATTATAATACATTCCTGATGATTCTTTTGCACTGAGTATTTGTCATGGTATATTTTGTACTTGCAATTTAATATTTGTGATAAAATAAAATGCTGACAAAAACCCCCACCGCTGTTTACAAAATGTAACCTAGATCCTAAGAGCAAGAGCACAAATACGAGCACAGATGTAAATTGATGTCTATAGAAACAACTTGCCGAAAGTACGCATTACCAGTTTCTAAACCATATGTAAGGAACAAGATATGTCCCATAGTTATGTATTTGCCAATCGAACAATAATATAACAATGTAGTAAAACGAAGATAAGCAATAAAGACATAAAATATACTAATAGTAATCAAATGAATGCTGGTAGACTGTACTTAGTTAATTATGATTGATCTTTCTTAGCTGTACCTAGAAAGTTATTGAGATTAGATGCTTACCAGCTAGGTTTTCGTTGGTCCTCTCACTGAGATGCTAGGAGAGTTAGATTTTTTCACAACCTCAAATTTGCAAAGACAACCAATTCTCCAGCATACGAATACTTTAAGAAAGACAATGCTATAAAACTACTGGTTCTTTATGGGCAAGATTTTATCAGATTTTCTTGAAAGTAAATTTAAACCAAACTCACTCCCACAGTCACGTGGTCCAGAAATTGGGAACAGAAGCAGGATAAAGTAAACAGGGGTCAACCTTTTAATGAACCATTTTCCCACTCTCAAAAAAAAGGGTGAAGGGGAGATGGTGATTTTTTTCCCTAGAAGTACGAAGAAACTTGCACGGCCTGGTAAGAACTGCAGAGAGGCAATAAAAGAATCCTATATTTGCTGCTCTGTTTAAAAACTATGTATGGGTTATTTATCACGAGAAGCTAATATATTTGGCATTTTCCAGTAATGTTTCAGTTGATTTGTATGTGTACATGTACTAAAGTTTTTGCTTTTATAATATTTGTTCAACGTTTATTGTACTTCTGCTTGATGAAATCGTGTCTAGTTAATTTTTTTCACTTATTTGTAAACTTATGCAAAAAAATAATTATATTCCTGGCTTTGCATGATTAATAGTGATAATATATAATGTAATGACATGAATATATATTTTCTTACTATCTTGTTGACCTAAAACATTGCTCTTCTTTAAGATTATGTTATTATAATTTGTTAATTCTGCAAATGGACACATTAATAAATAAACTGTGCTAAATGAAATTACATTTTTGGGAGGTGCTGTGGATCCTTTAGACATGGATAAAACACGGGCATCCATTGCAATCAATTGATTTAGTTCAGATGTGGTTTTTGTTTTCTAAACTTTTTTACTGATATTAGATTTTGGAATCGGTAGCATACCTGTACTCATGTTAAGCATGCATATAGGCCATGGAAATGGAAAAAAATATTCCTTTGAGACCAATAAACCCTTATTATTTCTAGAATTGCTGCTAGGAATGGCAAAATACCTAGGTTCAGTAGTGATTTTCTTTTAAACAAAACTGTCGATATTATGTAGAGTATCTTTCAGTGTCACAGGTAATTATTTCTGACATGTCTGAGGATCTTGTGAAGCAAACAGAGCTAGGGGACAAGAAACCTATGAAAAGAGAAAAGAATGCAAAATGGTTTTAACAAGGTAACAAACCTTTTTTAAGAATATCTGGATTTGTAGAAAAGCACATGAAAGGATTAATGTTCAAAATAAGTTTGAAATTAAAAGGGGGAACATTGAGGGAAAGTGCATGCTCTATTGCTTGCCTAGAGACCTTGAGAAACGTTATCCTGATCAACCCCAAAGTCAACCGTCACAAAGCGTGATCTCACTGAGTGGGTCTAGGTGAGAAAGTGAGGTCCTTGTGAGACCTCCCTGTTGATGTCTGTTCACCGAAAGAAGGTGATAGCTATACATGGATCCTTGCACGT